GGAGTATTTGACTCCGGACTCGCGTTCTTCGATTTCGCACCCTGATATATTACTTGCTGTTAATTCTCTTACATAATTATTTTTCCATTTGTTTCTCTGCAAAGAGTCTTATACGTATTTAACCTCTTCCCAACAAAAATTCGTATTCAACCGCAAAAAAAATACGTAGATCTTCTACACGAATCTCACACCCTCTTCTTCACCTCTGACCTTCCCAGGTCAGCAAGGTCAAAGTTCAGGAATGTGACCTCTACGAGACTTGCGAGGACTGCAGCATCGGCGCTCGCGACCCCTACTGCGGCTGGTGCACGCTCGAGAATCGCTGCTCCACCAGGGCGCGCTGCAACAATGCGAACGCGACGAATCGCTGGATATCGGTGTCGTCGCGCGAGTGCGTGCGCTTCATGGAGATCATACCGAGTCAGATACCCGTCGGGAACGCTAACACGGTGGAGCTACGGGTAAACCGGTGAGTCTACCTCCTCCCTCCTTCCTTCCTTCCTTTCTCTGTCATGAGTCAGATACCTGTCGGGAACGCGAACACGGTGGAGCTACGGGTGAACCGGTGAGTCTACCTATTCTCTCCCTCCTCCTTCCTCTTTCTTCCTCCTTACTCCTCCCTCCCTCTCTACTCCCACTCTCCTAATACTCCCATTTCACCTTTCCTCCTCACCCTCCCTCGTCCTCCACCCCTTTATCTAAGATGGTTTACTCTACCCCTAAACCTCTTACAATCTCTCCTTCCTCCTCCTCTTCCTTTCCCTCACAAGCCCTTCCCTATCGTCCCCTTCCACATCCGACGCAACACAATCTTCAAAATAATAGAAACACGCCACCACCTCCCCCTGGTGTGGACCGGACGCAACCGTAGCGCCCTCTATAACGCGTCCGTGCGCGTGTTACAGGTTGCCGGCGCTGCTACCAGGCTACGGCTACAGCTGTGTGTTCGGCACGGCCGCCCCCAGCCCGGCGAAGACGCCGCGAAACTCCGCCGGTCTGATCTGCGACACGCCGCCCATGCAGGAACTCGCAATGTTTGCCGGAGACGGAGGTAGGTGGCGCTGCCGGCGTCAGGGGAAGGAGATAGGTGGCGCTGTCGGCGTCGGGAGGAGGATGTTCGATTGTTTCGTTGAAGTGTGGTAATGATCGTGACTTTATTTTGAGTGACTTTTCGTTGATTAATTTTGTTATGTCAAGCAAGTGTCACATTATCTCTCCCCTCTCTCTTTCTCTCTCTCTCTCTCTCTCTCTCTCTCTCTCTCTCTCTCTCTCTCCTCTCTCCTCCCTCCTCTCTCCTCCATCGTTCTCTCCCCCACACTAACCACGTCTCTCTCTCTCACACACAGATCATTTCAGCGTACCGTTGTACATCCGATCTACGGAGACTAGCGTTGACTTCGTCTCCCACATGTTCACCTTCTACAACTGTTCCGTACACGCCACCTGCTCTCAGTGTATGCTCAGCCGGTGGGCCTGCAGCTGGTGTATGTACAGCAACAGATGCACGAACAATCCCACACAGTGCGCCATAGACAACCCTGGAGAGGTGAGTGATGGTGGAGGAGGGAGAGGGAGGAGAGGGAG